ATGGATAAGATCCTGCTGTGTGTCACTTCTGATGCTGTACTATGCTCTGCTTCACTTTTCAACAGGTGCCATATTTTAGAATTGTCCTTGTCACCAAGACACATCCCCTCTCACCTTGGCTTTGGTTTTCATCTGCATTCCTCTAGAAATCACATTTATCCAAGTATTCATAAGCCTCTTCCTTCCAAGAACTTGAAAAACTGCTGAGTGCAAACTCATAGCAGAAAACATGTCATTGCTGTCCACAACTTTAGGTAAATATGAGGTGACACAGGGGAAAAAAACTGGACTAGGTTCTTCAGCTCTGATAGAGCACATATTGGGACAAAGAATGTAGGATCTTAAGACTACTTATATTCACATACTAACAAAAGGTAAAATGCTACTCTATTTTTCTTTTATATGCTGTCATCATCTGCAAGATCAGATTTGAGTGTTCTGAAGCCTTCGTTTATCATCATGTTGTGTACATAAATCCATTATGGAATTCTACTCTTCCCAGTAGCAATCCTAATGCCATGTTCCCCATGGATGGTTGCCAGAAAGCCTAGCCCACATTCCAACTGCAACTTTTTAATTGTGTCACACTCCTAGGTTCTTCTAAATATACTACTGGTATCTCAGAAAGCAGTAAATCAAATGTTAAAACCATACAAACCTTAAATCATTAATCAGTTTTCATTATTACTAATCTCTTCTGCAAATCTGTTTAAAACATACTGATTGATATGTAGAAAGTTATATCTGAGTATCTTAGGAATGTATACCCGTGGAAGTATATCTATGGAAGATATGTCAGACAGTAGCATGTCCTAACCCCCTTACATTCTAAAATAATAGGGAGAGATGAAAAACACGAGCTATGAGAACTCACTTTGTTCTGCTATGCAACTCAGGTAAATAAACTTTATTAAAAAAACCAACAGCAGCTGAACGAGACAAAGCCTTATATACACTTGTTCTCACACCTGGATTTCTGCCTTGATACTGTATTGTCCAAATTGGGTTCAGATTGATTCTGTACTTCCAAAAATTAATTTTTCCTTCTATCATGAAAAACGTACCTTACTTCTTCCCTTCCTTTTTCATCTATGACTATACCTATATGATTAATTTATTAAGAGCATTTTCCCTACTTTCTGTCAGAAATCTGTACACAGTTGATAACTGGCAAATTTTGGGATGGAAGAGCTCCTGCTTGCTAAGACAGTTATTACAGAATTTTTTACTTAATCTTAATTTTTTATTCATTGTTTAAAAATATACTGCCTTGCAAACCCTGTGGCTGTAGGCAGTAGGCAATGAATACACTTTGTGCTCAAACAGAAGAAACAAAATGCACCAACAGACTTAGATTCCCACTGTATGCAAAGCATTATAATAATTTTCAGGAAAAATGAAGGAGGTCAATTCCATGGGAACAATCTGCAGTTTAAATGGACCGCCAGCTTTGCCATGAAACAGTCTAAAGTCGAGGGGCTGCTGTGTGGACAGACTGGTAAGCACTTATCTGTAAAGCACAGTCATCCCACTTTTCTTCACTCTGAATTCCTTCAATATATGAACAACATAGGAATGCTAAAGTATTATTTTCTGAGCTGCATAGGCTGTATAAGGGAAATGAAAAGTGTAAAAGCACATCAACAAACAAATCAGATCTTTATATTTTACAATTATAATCAAGAGCAATGTAAACACAAAGCTGTGATTCTTTATTAAATTCACTGGTTTGCCTTCCCTTCTACATTAATTGTAGGTGCATGCACTCTGTACTCAAATGCAGCATTAGTGTTACATGAATTCTTGCAAATTAGGTTGGCAGACTTTTTTATTTTTCAAAATGTTCCATATTAAATTTTAATATCATAGCTTTGATATATAAGGTATTTTATTTTTATTGATCTCATCATAAATGTAATGAAATTTGCTTTTGTCTTTTATTTTCAGATTCTAAACTTGAAGGTTCCCTTAGAATGGGAATTATTTAGTTCTGCTGTTAGCATCAATATTTTTAAGGTTTTCTATGAGGAGGCTGAGAGCCAGAAGATATATAAAGAATAGCAATGTATTTATGTCCCATGATTTTTAAGCCAATCTCATTTAGAGCCCAGTTAGGGACTGTGAACACTCACTTTAGTGATTTTACAGCTGGGAGGGATCACTGTGATCATGCAAGGTGACTGGGCCAAAGGTTTTTCCCAAAACTAATTCTAGACTATGTAGTATTTCAAAAACAAGCAAAAAAAATCTTATCTTGACTAAAGGCTTGGGGGGACAGACACAGGATCACACACTTCTAATAGACCATTAACTATCTTCATTAACAATCCCCCTATGCTTTAACTGAACACATAGTTGTGTAATTTGCAAAATAAAGGAACCAAATTTTAGCTATTGGATCTTTTATAATCTTTGGCAACCAGATTATAGAGCCTGGTATTAGTAATTAACTACAGATCAACTAATTATTCCTTTAATCATTTCTTGAATAAGCTAAATGAATTAACTGAGCTCCTGGAGTCTTTCAGTCTAAGGCACATTTGTCAACTCCTTGATGAGTCCTGTGACTCTCCTCTGAACCCACTGCAAATTATCAATATCTGTACAGCTGAAAAAAAAGAATTAAGGAAAAAGTTTAGAATTAGATTACAAATAAAGAGTTCAATTTTTTCTATGCTGACTCAAGAGTCCTGTGTTTAACGATTCAGTAATCACACTTTGCTATTTTCAGCTGTGAGTTTGGGCTGTGGTTCTGCCTAGTAATTCAATAAAATAAAACACAACCTGGAAATGAACAACAGGCCTTTTTGGTGTTGTGCAGACACTTGGTTGCAAACCCATCAGTATCTACTGCCTTTACCCTCAGGCTAAGATTTAATTAACTTGTTATCACCCCTCTACATTACAGAACTGAAGAGATGGACTACAAAAAAATTAAGTGTACAGTCCTCTTCTTGGCAAGAGTAACATTCCCAGACATAGACAGGCTCCAAACTGAGACTATTATGTCCATGTGCAAGGAAAATGTCAACAACAAACCAGATTTCAGCAGTTGGAATACATTTAAATGACAAAAAAAAGGCTTTTTTTTTTTTTCTGCAGCTGCATGAAGTGACAATTTTGAATGGTTTGAATTAGACAAAGTGGAAACAGGAATCATCACCCAGCTCTATCTTCCCCATCTCTACAGGCCATCCCTGTAAGTAAGCCCTTTGACTTTGGCCTTTAACTATAAATAATCAGCATATAAAATATATTTTATACATAGCAGTACTACATAGCATGTGACTGGAGGTCCTATGGCTCTCACTAACTACTCAGTTTAGTTTGTTTCTCAAAAAAAATTTGCTTGCCTGACCTCTATATCCTTTTGCAAACATTTTTTTCCATTTTTTTTTTTCCTTAGCAATTCTGGAATTAATTATTTCATAGACAGCTTGATTAACTAGCACACAAAAAAGCGGTTTGGTATCTTTAGAAGCTTTAAGCATTTTCCAGATCTTTGCAAAATATTCTGCATTAATCATTTCACAACCTTTCAAATACTCTCTAGGAAGCTTTGTTATTTTTTATCCCTACTTTAAGACATTACTCAAGATTCTCAAGTCAGAATCCTAACTTGAAAGATAAGCTGTTATATCAGCTGCTTCTCTTACCAGCCCAACTTATCTGAATTAATTCTCCTTCCATTTGTGATTACACAATATCCTTGCATGAATTACCACAATTGATAGCTGGAATGTATCACAGGGAAGCATTTAATGTCTTTTTAGCTGTATTTTAGTATAGCTAAAACAGGGAAGAGGAACCAGATAATGAGATTAGGCAGCTTTCTACAGACCAATTGCAAATATACTGTAGACATTGTTAGGAAACTTTGGCAGTTTCCTTGTTAATTTTTCTTTTATTACTGGCTTGAGAAGTTCAACAAAGGAAAGTGCAAGGTCCTATACCTGGGTAATGGCAATCCCAGGCACATCTATAGGCTAGGCAGAGCAGTCATTGAGAACAGGCCTGCAGACAAGGACTTGGGGGTGACAGTTGATGAAAAACTCAGCAGGAGTCAGCAGTGTGCACTCACAGCCCAGAAAGCCAATGCATCCAGGGCTGCATCAACAGGAGTATGGCAGCAGGTCAAGGGAGGTTATTCTCCCACTCTACTCTGCTCTTGTAAGACCTCATCTGGAATATCTCATATGGTTCTGGTGCCCCCAACCAAAGAAGGACATGGAACTGTTAGAGCAAGTCCACAAAGCTGATAAGAGGACTAGAGTACCTTTCCTAAGAAGACAGGCTGAGAAAGTTGGGGCTGTTCAGCCTGGAGAAGAGAAGGTTGCATGGGAACCTCATAGCAACCTTCCAGTATCTGAAGGAGGTCTACGAGGAAGCTGGAGAGGAACACTCTGTTAGGAACTGTTGTGATAGGAGAAGTAGTAATGGGTATAAATTGAAAGAGATGAAATTTAGATTAGATATTAAGAAGATGTATTTTAATGTGAGGGTAAAACATTGGTTGCCCAGGGAGGTTGTGGATGCCCCAACTCTGATGGAGTTCAAAGTCAGGTTGGATAGGGCCTTGAGCAACCTGGTCTAGTGGGAGATGTCTCTGCACAGGGCAGGAGGTGTTGAGGCTAGATGATCTTTAAGGCCCATTCCAACCCCTTAACATACTATGACACTAGGATAAGTAACAATGTAAGCTCTGATGAAATGATTTGAAAATTTAGGAAAATAGCTCATACAAATAAATATATTGTGCCACATGCTATGGAAGAATTCATACAAGTCTATTATGCAAATCACTGACTATATTAAATTGTCAAATTGCCACAGAACAAAATATATCACAGAACTCTCATGCTTTAAACATTCACTGAAATTTCAGTTTTATTTCCAACTGGAAAACACAGATAATACGCAGCTAATCATTTACTTTTTAAAGCAAAGATGTTCCTATGTCTGGCCAGCAGAATGATGAAACAAAAGACCTCTTTTCTTACCCTTATTGTACATATTGGTTGGTACTTGGACGTCACTCAGACTGATGTTCACAGGCAAGTTATTGAAGTGGTCATTTGGCACTAGAATGAACTCCTTCCCCAGCTCCAGATAATTTCCTTCTTCATCTCGTTCATTTATGAGCACGGCATTGAAGTATTCATACTGCAACAGAAACCCACATTCTGTATTCAGAATACACATACAGTATAAAAATAAGAGGTTTGAATAGTTTAACATATCTATCAAACCACTGATTAACATTTACATGTATCTCTATGTAGAACAGTAGAATAAGAAATTTTTATCAGCTCTCAGATTCCTTCTATACTCCTAGCACAAGTACATTTCTGAAACCAGATTTATCAATACAACTTGAAAAAAACCCGTATTACCTCAGCTCTCTGTCTGCCCTGAAAATATTAAGGGAAGTCCAAAAAAACCTCTGATAATAAACAATATATGTACTATTTTTTATACAAAGCCCTCTAGATCTAAATGATTTCCTGGGTGATTATTTAATTATGATATCTGTGCTTAGCTTACTTCCATCAATTCAAGAACTACTATCAGCACTGAACTTAGGCCTTGATGAACTAAAAATGGTCTTACTTCCCAGGAATATTAACTACTGCTGTAGTTGCTTCCCCAGTGTGTACTGATTGACATGTCCTAAAATTATTTGGTTTTTACTGAATTTTAGAAATACATATCATAGTTGGTTTTGTAAAATTATGCATACTTTAATACAGACAAAAAAATTAGCAGTGACTTATTTTGAACAAAAAATTATTGTCTGCCTGTTACAGATTCCTGAAGAGTATTTGGCCTATTTTGTACAGAACTATTACCAGATAAGCAAAAGCAATTTAGATAAAATTATTGATTTCTTTATGACCTAGTTTAACCAGAAATTCTATCAAGCTTTGAAGGCAACAAACAGTGCAGACTACTTTTTAACCTCTTAAATAACCTAAACCTTGTCAACAGTTTGTGATGTGTTTCTTAATTGAGAGAGACCAAAGTTTACTGTCTTTGAAGAACCACTTTCATTTAAATATGAGTCTCTGCCTCAACTATTCATTTGAAAGTAAATCTCTATAATATTTAAAAATAAATCTATGCATTCATAGGTGATACATATTTATACAACCTGTACATGGATAAATATATTATACTATTTGCAAAGCTAAAACAGACCAGTAAGTACAGAAACTTATCAGGCTTTTCACAAGCATTCTTTCTTAATGTGTTATGTAACTCATTCTATTAAACAAGAACCAGCTAAAATCTTAAAATCTATATAGTTCCATTAAGAGGCTTAATTATGTAAACACTATTTTAGATGGAAGCATACTTGGAGAGCAGTTTTCCAAATCCTGCTCTTTTAACTTTTGGATTTTCAAAATGGTCAACTAGTAGTTTGGATTTCAAATGAAAGTAGAATACAAAGGAGCTCACTGTTTGTTAGTAAGGCTTTGAGGACCTTCTGTGTACAACAGTAATATTCAGATGAACTTAGTGTTCCACATACCATTAATCACATGTAAGAAAGACCGAGGCACATCAGTATTTGAAAGTCAATTTAATGGAAATTAATCTGACATGATTAAACATCTGACTTGAAAGTTATTCAACTGGTTTATGCTGAGATGAGCCAAATAGTCTGCTGCATACATTTCATGAATACATTCAGCTATTGAATCCTAAAGTTCTAGAAACAAACAGTTACACTGCCATTAACTAATTAATTCCAAAAGTTATTAGGATTATCCTACACTTGCCCAGACACTTCCTTTCTTGCTACCATTTCACAGATTGCCACTGTTACAGATTTGATTCTTGTCATACTAAAACAGAAAGGATGAAGATACATGATCATTCCCAAGAAACACCAGTTCTCAATCTATTTGGGAGAAGCCTTCTCCATCTCTGCTTATTATCCAAGCTTATCATGGACCATTAACTGCACTGCATGCCTGCTGCCCACATGTGACAGCAGCTTTTTCAGTTATCCTTTCTGTAAAAGCCAAGGAGAGCTGGCAGAAAAGCCCAACTCGTATCTCCCATCCTGGTGACTAATAGAATATTCCTTCCAACATTAAGCAATGCACTAATGACTGTTGTAAAATGCAATTCTACTCCAATCACAAGCAAGGAAGAAGTAAACTGTGCAGCTTTCCATGATATATTAGATACTATCTAAGTCTGGAAGAAAGGCTGATATTCCATCCCCTGGGAGAACAGTGATAAAAAAAATGATATATTTCATACTTATTTCTTGCCAACCACTTGTCTCTTCACAGCCCTTGGACAGCTAAGTTCCAATAGGGTGAGGATGATTGTTTCATCTTGTTTCTAAACTGCTTGTTTTCTTGTCCTTAAGGACATGAGGGTTTTTTCCCTTTATCTGTGTTGAACATGACATCACCTCCACAACTGCTGGAGCCACAGATAAACCACTGTGTTGTTTTCATGAGGCTTCTTTATAAATCTTATCAAGATTGTCACAGAGAAATGAAGGGGGTTTTGTCTTTGTGTTTTCTGATTACAGACCACCACTGAAAGCATTCATACCACCTACCAAACTTTAAGACAAAAGCTGTATTCAAATATTACACTTTAGGCAAAAGAAGATTAGAGTTGATGAAAAAAGATTCTGTACTAAAACATGTAGCAAAATACTGTTCTCCTTTAACTGAACTTAAGTTATGTATCATGGAATAATTTGTACAGTAATTCACATACAGACTTAGTGATTTCAAGGATTTAAATTTAACTTGGTTTCTATAATACTTTGTAAATGGTAAGAAAAATGGACAAATTTTAAATAAGGATGTCAGAATATACACAAAATCACCTCTAAAAGGCTATTATTTCCTTTCATTCAATGGCTTATTTCCTTTTCCAAAGAAGCTAATTAGTAGACATCCTCCATCATACTCTCTAAGTGGCAAGGCTAGCCAAGTATTAAAATCTGCTATATTTAAAAAAAATTAAAACCACTTGTTTTACAATTAAGGACATTTAGGACTGACTGTTTCTTCAGATGATTTAGTATTCATTGATTTATTGGTCTAAGTCTGTATTTTCTCTTCAATTCTACAAGTGTATACACAATAATACAATTTATGGTAGGTTTTTAAAATTGAATTGTAGCATCAAATAGTCCTTATGGTATTGTAGAAAATTAATATTTTCCTGGGGTTTTTTTCCTGTTTGATTTTAGGCAATGTGGAAGGTATCTGGTTCGTTGAGGATTTTCTTGGAAGTGAGAAGCCTACAAAAATAACATCATTAAAACAGTCCTGCACATTCTTAGAGTTAAACATCAGGTAATATATACAGCTCAAAAACAGTCCTGAAAAAGATCATCATTTAAGCAGAGCTGTTATGCAGTGGCTTCTCTGGGCACTTCCTTTCCACGGAAGTTATTGAGTGTGACAGCTGAAAGGTGATAGAAGGAATATTAAAAATTGAAGAAAAAATATTAAAGCAAATCCATCTGGCATTCTGACACTGCATTCAAGATAATGCCCAAGGGGAAGGATAAAGTCCTGTTTGCTGACAACACAAATACTCTACCTAAGCTCTTAGAGAAAATGACTTCAATTTAATCTTGTCAATGGAGGTCAGTCTTTGATGTAACCTTAACCAGGTGAGTTCTGAGTGCACAGAATATAACATGCCAAAACGTTATTAGCTTAATAAATAACAAAATAATTATCCAGGTTGGGAGAACAGGCAGGCTCTACTGTACCTGGAAACAGGAGAGTCTACACCAACCTTACATATAGACTTGCAGGTGAGCAAGGAAATCTAATTCATGTCATCTGTTATACAAATCTTTACATCTAAACATCAACTTTTATACTTTTGTGCATTTACATTTGCTCAAGTAAACACATTGGGTTTTCCTGCTTGTACATTCCTTAACTGCATCTGCATGTTTGATTCACCATTTTGAAAGGCCATATTGTATCATAACGCATACAACAAAGTGAGGCCATAAAAACTGGGGACAAATAAGAATCTCAGCTTTCATTTCAACCCTTGTAAAGAAATTCTTTCAAATGCAGACGAATAAAGCTAGAACAGTGCTCAACAGAACAAGCACTGGACCATTCTGCCTCAGCAAGGAGCTAACCATATTTGTTCCAAAGAATGATATTGTTAATAGTCTGCAGAACCCTGAGCTGCTCTGACATACTGCTGTAATCATAGTAGACAGAGACTTATGGGGCTGTTAGGAAACAGATCACAGAATTCTTTTACAGGATCATTCACACAGACAGGCAAAGGCAAGTTTGTTTTAAAGCAAAAGACAACTTCAGCCATAATAACAAATGTGTGTTGTGTGATAGCTTAGAATGGCTGCCATGGACATCTGTTAATTATGATAAAAATTAATTCATTCAAAATATATAACCGGAAAACTGGGGAAGTGCAAGGTTTGTGGCCTGCAATGAGAACCACAGGGGTAGGTTGCAGGGGAGAACTGATCTGCAAGGCAAGGAAACACTGAAGTTGTCTATTCTGGCTTAGCCAATTATTTTGGCACAATGTCTCAACTAAACAAGCACCTTCATTACAATGGATACTTGGCTGAAACAAGACTTAGATACCATGCTGAAAACTACTGCACATCTTGCATAACTGCAGCATTGTCCAAACTGTGGTAGATGAGTGACATTGTGCATTGTCATTTACATTTACCTTTCTGTAAACAGATATCTCATGATGCTTAAATTCTTTATCAATATTTGTTAACACTGTAAACAGCATATTTGTTTAAATATAAATATTTACTGTTCAATTTAAAAGATACATTCTAATGCAAATTGGCCTTGCAACTTAGAGATTACATGGCACATAAGACTAAACATGTATCAGTTTATGTCACAGTATTTTAAAATTAAGTATTTGGGGTTCTACCAGCATGAAAGAATGCAAGACAATTTTAGTTTGATATTTTTTTTATCTAGTACAGAAATTATTTTTACCAAGACATCATAAAAACATGTCTCACTCAGAGCTATGAAGGGGAATGATTTGCACTAATGGGTCAGCACTAGAGCAGTCTTGGGGTTACATTGATAATTCTTAACTATTCAAGAACCATTTTCACAGTGTTTCTGCAGCCTTACAGTTCATCTAAAGAGAAA